CCGTACTAGCCTTGGACCCAGGCCTACTCCAATTCTTCTACATTCAACCCCTGGACTAGATTCTTAACCCAGTCTACCTACACCCCTTAGCATAGATTGCTAAGTCCCTCCTAAGTTGCCCACTCCCATTTCACTGACTCCTGACATTCCTGACAGATCGGCTCACCTAGGACTCTGACAAGTGTACCACACACCACTTGTCAAAAGAAGCTTCTTTTTGCAGCAGATGGAGGCTACTGCAGACTCCCACAACTGGCCAGACACAAAGAATATACATCTGAGAGATGCTAGTCCTAGGTGACATATCTACAGTTGAACCTCTATACCTATGACTCATAGACTATAGTAGAACTGAGGACAGAGTGAAAACTAGTGCATCCCTCAAATCTCACCAGTGAAGCTTCCTTATAAAACAGAGTGTGAGGCACACGGAAGGGCACAACTGGGCTATGTTTTGGAGAATAAAAGGCTGCAGAGTGTGTGCCCCTAGATAGGACTCTTATATCAAAACTCTCCCACTCATGGCTCAGGGTTCATTGTGGAAGAGGAGGCAGAAAGATTGTAAGAGCCAAGGCTTGTCCAAGAGCGTAAAGAAGCAGAGGCTTTCAGGCCGCTGAAGCTTGCACATGTGCACTTATGGCAATAGTGGCATCAAGCACAGGACCATGCCAACTGAGACACACAAACGCCCAGAGTGGAGAGAGGAAAACAGGTGGTGGGTCAGCCCTAGTCTGGTAACTATTGGAAACTGATTACTACTGGTTGAGGGATAGTAGGACTTACCAACATTCTCTAGATAGGCTGACTAGACTCCAGTGGATGAATGTCCACTGAAGGCCATCTAGGCACAAATGCTTGACTGAATAGGACTTAACATGTATGGCAGAATACATGAGGTCTGGTGGAGTAGGAGTGGAGGTATGGATGGGAGAAGGGGCTCTAAATTTGATTAAGAGCTGTTATATATAATTCTGACTCTGCTCATTACATCTTAACTCCCCTACAGCCTGAGGAACTCCAATTTTCCAGACCCCACATCTTGTTCTCCTTCTAGCCTTGGATACAGGCCCACATGTGCTCTTAGCACCTCTCAGCTCCTTGTGGAGGTGAGCTCTCCAAATCCTGCTGTGTCTGTCCCGCTGCACTGGAACCTTCTGTAGCCACTCCCACTAATGCAGGGCTAGGCTTCCCAGCCCTTTCGTAGGGTCCCAGAATGTTCCAGACTGCCTGAAAGAGCCTAAATCCAGCTTCCTTGTGGTACCCACCCCCCCCCACATTGGGACCACCTACAGTCCCTCCCACAACTGCAGGGCCAGGTTTCCATGACCTTCGTACAGACTGCTTGAGAATGCCTGAATCCAGCCTTCACCCAGCAAGTTTCCCAAAGAACGCTGTGCCTGCTGGCTACAGGGGTCCAGACCTGAGGAGGAAGCCTGAGAGCGCCTGGTTCTCACGTGACTTGGGCTTCTATGGAAACTTCAGAGTATCTGGGCTAGAACCATCTGGTTCCTCCAATATAAAATTGAAAGAGAGAACCTGAAGCCTAGAACAACCAAATTTTCATACTCAATAAGAAAACAACCGAGACACATCAAGTATACAAATAGAATCAGACTTCAACTTAACAAAGAAAGGCTTGAGTCTCACACCAGAAATACAAACAACAAAACAAATCCACACTCCAAAATCACAACAAAAAAGTAATAATATGAAAAACACAAAAATGTCCCCACCAAGCACCATCAGTCCTACAGAAAAGTTCTGTAGCAAGAAGCCCCTAGAGATAACCCAAGGCACAGAATTTAAAAGAACAGTCATAAATGATAAAAGGATTCAAAGAACACACAAATAAATCAAAGAACTGAAAGAAGATAAGGATAAACTTATAACAGAATTCACAAAAGAGATAGAAATATTGAAGAAAATTTAGGCTGAAATAAAGAGTAAAACACTCAGTAAGCGAATTACAAGCAACAGGAGAAAAACCTCACCAACACAATGAATGAAATGAAAAACAGAATATCAACACTGGATGATAAACTTGAAGAATTGGACTGTTTAAGCAAAGATTAGGAAAAAAAATTTAAAACACAGAAATGGAATATGCAGGAAGTATGGAACACCAAGAACAGACCAAATTTATTCATTATAAGCAGAGAGAAAAGAGAAGAATCTCAGGAGTGTATTGACCAGGTCTTCAAAAGGATTTCCTAAAGAAGAAAATTTCCCAAAATTAAAGAAAGACATGCCCATACAGATACAAGAAGCACATAGAACACCAAACAGACAGGACCAGAAAAGAAACTCCCCACAGCACATCATAGTGAAAATGCTAAACGTACAGAACAAAGAAAGCTACAGAAGAAAAACAAGTCACATATAAAGGAAAACCCATCACAATTTCAGCTGACTTTTCAATGCAAACTATGAAAGCCAGAAGAGCCTAGACCAAAGTATTCCCAGTTCTAAATGATCATAGATGCCAACCCAGACTACTTTACTTGCATAAATGTCTATTATAGTTGAAGGGGGAAGAAAAATCTCACATGATATGAATAGGTTGAAAGAATTCATGTCCACAAAACCAGCCCTTCAGAGAATTCTTGAAGCAATACAAAGAGCTGGAGAATGGAACAACTATACACAAGGGACAACAGAAAGAAACTAAATGAAAGTATAACTGTGGAAACACAAAGTTAGACCAAGAATGCAAACAGAAATTAAAATGACAGGAATCACTGAATATCTTTCAATAATAACTTTAAATATCAATGGACTGAATTCCCCCAATCAAAATACATAGGCTAGTTGAATGGATTGAGGAACAAAATCCATCTTTCTGCTGTCTGCAAGAAACTCATCTCACCTTCAAGGACAGGAGCTACCTTAAGGTGATAGGATGGAAAAAATATTCCAAGCAAATGGCACTAGGAAAAAAGCAGGAGTTGCAACTCTAATATCCGACAAAAGAGACTTCAAACTAAAATTAATCAGAAGAGATATAGAGGAGCACTTCATTCTGATCAAAGGAGCAATTGACCAAGAAGATATTACAATCATGAACATATTTATACCAACTCTGGTGTATCCAACTTCATAAAAACAGTACCACAGAACTTTAAGACACAGATTAATCCCAACTCACTAATAGAAGGGGTGTTCAATACCCCACTTTCTTCATTAGACAGGTCAACTGGAAAAAGAATAAACAGAGAGACATCTGAATTAAACAACACCATACATCAAATGGACCTAACAGACATCTACCAAATATTCTACCCAAACACTAAAGAATATACTTTCTATTCAGTGCCCCATGGAACTTTCTCCAAAATTGACCATATACTGGCACACAAAACAAGCCTCAACAAATACCAAAAAAAAAAAAGAGAGAAATGATTCAATGCATTCTTTCAGACCACAATGCAATAAAGCTTAAAATCAATGCTCAAAGAAGCTCTAATAACTATATGAATTCATGATTAAACAACACACTCCAGAATGATGAATGGATCAAAGGAGAAATTAAGAAAAAAATAAAAGTATTCCTGGAATTAAATGAAAAGGACAATACAACAAAACCTTTGGGACACTTTAAAAGCAGACCTAAGAGGACAGTTTATAGCTCTAAGTGCCTACATTAAAAATCAGAAAGAACACAAATAAATGATTTAACATTTCAAGTCAAGAATCTTGAAAGGCAACAAGAAATAAAACCCAAACCCAGCAGAGGCAAGAAGAAATAACAAAAATCAGAGCAGAAATCAATGAAATAGAAAGAAAACAATACAATGAATTCAAGAGCTGGTTCTTCAAAAAGATAACCAACATAGACCCTTGTTATCCCAGACCCGTTCCATCAGTACCCTAGGATTTCCTTGAACCCTCTATGTCATGTAGGTACAGTAACTGTTCCTTGAATAATGCATCCATTCTCATGTTTCTTACCAACATCCTCAGCTTTTAAAGACATGTACAAATACACATAATAGGCTTCTTATCTGGGAATTTGGTCAACATTTATAACTTGGATATTTGGGACGGGGAAGGATTTTTCTAGAGCTGATAGGAGGTCATCTTCTGTTCTTATCTCTTCTATTTCCATATCAAAGTAGACACTAAGATTATGGCTGCACAGAAGAAAATGCTTTTCATCAGCCTTAGCTCAAGAAAAGTTTAGGGAAATGATATTGCTGGGATACCAAGAATGTGAAGAAGGGCAGAAAACTGCCACTTTTCCAAAATCTCTTTGATTGTGAATTACACATATTTATAAAATGCACAGGATACTTAAGCTAAGTTAAAGTGTCCATGAATAAAATTTGTTCTGCATTTTACTTCTTGTTAATTTTATTCTGTATTAATTTTGCCTATAATTCTTTGATAGTAAATGAAACTTTTGATCATGGAGAACTATACTTTATTCATTAAAAACAATAGATTACAGTGCATCAATGCAAAGAACCACATGCTTACAAATCTACTCTCAGAGAACTGGAAAGTAAAATTGGAAGCAGTGTTCTAAATATAATAACCATATAATTTGTGGTTATATCAGGGAAAATAAGCAATAAACAAGGATTATCATACAGCTATTACCCATATCCCTAAATGAGGCATTTTTTCCAACTTCATCTTACAATAAGTAGTGCTTTGGACATAGAAAAATAAGTAGTGCTTTGGACATAGAAAAATAAGCTGTGTAAACTGATTGAAATTTTATTTTAAAATTCCTTAGAAAGCATTGGGATTAAAAGCCTATTGAATCAGTAGATATTTAAATATTAAAAATAAACTTGGTTTAAGTTTTCAGATAAATAAATGTACAAATAAATGACAAACTTGACTAGAAAAATTCCAACAAAAAGATTTATTAACAGATGCAAAATCCCAAATGGTAGGTTAACACTTCCTGGACATTTAAATGTTGCCCAAACTAACAGTGTCAATAAAATAAAATGATTCTACAAGTTTATGTTTCTTTGGGTTTTTCAAAGACATTTTCATATTACTACTGTGGAAATAAAATTAAGTTTGTGCTCACAAATTTAGCATTCCACTTATATATTACAAGAGCATCTTTAAATCTTCAATATTATTGAAATTTTATATAAGCTGTATAAAATATACCACATTAAGCAAATGAAGAAAAACATTTGATTATGATGTCTAACTATAACATGGACTTTCTGAATTTGAAAAATTATTGCGATGCAGATATGATTTTATGTAATAAAGTTCTATATGTAAAGTAATAACTTGCTTAAACAAACCTACTAATTTCTTATTTTACTTTTTTAACATTGAGACTCGATGCATAATATCTTAGCAAAAAGTTGATTATTAAACTCTATAAATTTGAAAATTTACTGATTGAAAATTATATCTTCACCCACCTGTCTCTCATCTATAAACATAATTATAAGTTAATAAAATTATATTCTGACCTGGGGTTGTAGCTCATCAGTAGAGCACTGGCCTGACATCCACAAGGCCCTGAGTTCTTTCTTCAGTAATAAAAAAAGAGATAAAAAAGAAAAGAAGAAATTTCTATTCTATTTTGTCAACATTATCATAAAGGCCTTTAAATAATGTTCAATGGTCAGCCTGCTAATAACATAATGAATGCATAGTTGTCAGCTCATAAGAATTTATGCCATCCCCAAGGAAGCTCATCTACCTGATCAGACAGTGATTTCCTTTCATTATTTACATTAACATAGATATTAGGATAATGTCATTTAACACAAGCATACTTTCTATGTAATGTTGTCTTATATATTAATATAAAACATGTGTGTAAAGCACCTTTATAAAGCATCCTGTCTCCAAAGAAGCACCGTATAGAAAAGGTATAGAACAAAATTTAATTTCAATTCTGACCTTGGTCTTTTACCTTGTGAAACAGTTGTGACTGGTTTCCTTACCAACATCTAGAAGAGTAGGTACAAAAACAATTTAGCGGGAAAAATAGGGTAGGTAGAGTTCCAAAACTCTGGTGAATTATATGATACAAAGATTGAAATAAAAGTTCTTTCTTGAGTAAAGATGTCCAGAAAAGACAAGGAATGGAGTCTTTCAGCATAAATCTGGCTAAGATGGAGCAGCGGGAATGGCAGAGAACTGTCAGTGTTAGGACAACCTCCAGTTCCTAAAAACACTTCTAAATTCTGCAAGGGGACTACACATAGAAAGGAAGAACTGTCAGAGTAAACTGTTCTCATGGATATTTTGAGAAAAGATTTTCTTGTTTTCTTTTTGTTTGTTTGTTTATTTGTTTTAGTTAAAATGTCCATGGAAACAGTGCATACTTCCAATATTCTGGACACTTTCCTAATCTTAGGTGATTTGTCATAAAAATCACCCTGTGTGATTCATATATCCCCATGGTATGGTTAAAAAAGTTTTCCCTCTCACATAATTAGCCACTGAAAAGCTGGTTATCTGAACCCTCCAGAAAGTAGCATTTTGATTGTCTTTAGCATTTAAAGGAAGAGAAGCAGTTTACTTTATGAATGCTGCAAAGTTGCTTCACCATGCCAGTGGAGATGTAGTCATATACCATCAGATGGCTCCAAGAAATGACAGTCTTTCAACTTTGATAAATTGACATATTTGTAGAAACAGTTCACAAATCAAGACACAAAAATCTTTAAGCAATCACAATAAAAATAAGAGCTAACCATTCTTGACTAGACCATAAAAAATGGCTGTGTTCATATATTGCCTTTTGAATTTCTGTAATTGGCAGAACTGGGGCCTCTTCAGTATGTGAGGTTCTTAAGACTAAAATTATGAACTAGCCACTAATTAGCTTAAAAACGTAGATTACAATTTAGACTGTGTAATATAATGACTATTTGGATTTCTCCCTTAAGCTTCTAATGAAATCTACAAACTGAAAATTTAAATCAAGCTTTCTATAATCAATTTTAAAAGACAGTTATGTTTTCTGTTTCTTGAGAGATAAGTAAGGAATCATCTGATACTAAACACCATTCCATTTCATAATGAACCACATGGCTTTGAGATAACCATAAGTTTTATTTAGTTTCACAAATACCTTTCATTTCTTTATCTCCATCTAGAACTTAGATTCTACCAGGTATGATCTCTAAGTGCCAGCGGTGTTAGGAGGGCTGGCTTTGTCCAAAATGCGAATCACAAGTTTTCCTTCATACAGTCCTATTTTGTGAGTCCTTTCTTTTCTCATTACACCCCCTCAGGTTTCTACAGCTTTAACACTTCATCCACCACTCTCTTTTCATGTACTCACTTCACAGATTTCTTAACTTAGGAATTTACATACTAAAATAATTCTCAAAAGTAGAGAAAATAACTACCAAAAACATTGTATTTATTATTGGGCCACCTCATTGCTCAGAAGACTAGAGATAATGGCAAGAATTCTATGTAAAATTAGAGATGAATTTATTTAGAAAGGCAGGAGATGGGAGCTATTCTTATGTTACTCCTGACCATTCCTTTACATGCACTCTTTTGGACTATGCAGGTGGAGCAGCAACCTCGCTTCTTAGCGTATTAAAAAGCAATGTCTTGGGATGTTATTGCAGTCAACATTTATTAAGAACCACTCAACTTCTACATTTGATTCCTCCTCCTTTTCAGTAATACCTTGAATTGCCAAGTAATGTGTTTAGCCCCATCCCTGTTTTACAGGTGAACCCATAACTGACATAAGCCATCTCATTCTTTCTGGCTATGATACTGTCTTACTGATAAATAAATAAGCCATTTTTGTTTCTTGTGTGAGAATAGCAAACTATCCACCAAGTTCCATTGGTTGTCTATCATGGGAATACATGGGGAGGAAGCAGCGTGAGAGTTAAGCCAAGAGTAGGGCAGTGGCTCCAACTCTGTGGAAGGGATCCAGAAACCGGCTTATACCCACCATTAATTCCAGATACAACATTAAAGCCCTGTGATACTTGATCTTGAAATTGTTCTGTTACATGATGCAAGAAATTCCCTTTTATACATAATCTAATTAAATTTGGTTTCCTAAAACATTTCTATTAAGAACATCCTCCAGGAAACACAGTATTTTTTCATAACAAATGAAGCAAGTTTAGTCAAATTTTATGAAGGTAGATACTCATGGTGGGAAGAGCATGGAGAAAGATCTGTGCCTACAGAAGTCATCATTAATGTGCTCAGGTCATGAGACCAGCTTAGAATCTGGGCTTTGGTCTTCGAGAGAAGGTTGGGTAGTTCACGTAAATGTCCTCTTTTTCCTCATCCATGGATTGGTTGGTAGAAGTGGGACTTCTGTAGTTGGTGACTACCTAAAAAGACCAGCAATAGAGCATTGTGACACAAAATTTCAGCAGCCAATGAAGGCATTCTACATAAATCTCCAAAGAAACCACAATATAATTTAAATTTCCATTACAAATAATTTTACAAACTGTTCCCTTTAATAATACAGAACTTCTGTTAGATATTACATTTTCAATTTACAAGACTCAGATTAGATGCAACATAAATTTAATGTAGATTACAGATTTTAACATTATGCTAAAGATTATCTATTCAGAGGTAAGATGCTTGCTATCCATGCAAAGTCTAGCATTGTGATGGTTTGAATGAAAATGTCTCCCATAGGCTCCAAGTGTTCAGAAATTTTGTCCCCAGATGATGGCGCTGTTTTGGGAGGTTTTAGAAGGTGTGGCTATCCTGGAGGAAGCACATCACTGGGGGTGGGCTCAGAGAGTTCTTAAGCCTTGCCAGATCTCCAGCTGTTTTCTTGCTTGCTTCCTGTGCCTGTGTGATGATGTGAAAGCTTCACTTCTGCTGCTCCTGCTCCAGCCACCTCCAGCCACCATGCCTCCTTGCCATGACAGACTGTAATTCCCCTGGAACCATATAATATTTTACCATAGTGGGTAAACACTAATAACTGCTGAATGAATGTCCTAATAAATATTTTTTATTTAAATATTTTTATTCTTTTTGATATTATGTCCATATAACAAAATAATAGTAGGAGGTTTATCCCTGGGACTTATGAGTTCCACAACTATGAGTTCTTAACTAGATTTACAGTATTAGGCACATATTGCTGACTGTGGAGTGGGTCTTAATCCTATCAGAAAGTGGTTTATTACTCCCATGAGCGGCACTACTGCACCAGCAGCCATCTTGCTGTGCCAGTCATTATTGTAGAGCTCACAGGGTACATTGCTCTATGAGACTGCTGATGACTTTTTTCAGTATGATAGCACCTTCCAGTATTTCATGAATGCTATGCAGTAGAAGAAAGCTTCCTGATCCTCACCAAGTTGATTTCTTGGTGTCCTATGATCAAAGTGTATGGTTTCTTCAACAATAGGGTCTTACCATCAAGTTCTGATGAGCAACCAAGAGCAATGGCAATAGTCTGTATTGTCTGGGGAAACTGGACATGTCTAATCAACAACTCAAGGGAGAGTAACCCGCACATGGTGCTGGGCTTTTGAAAAAAATATTTTATTTATTATTTTTATTTTATGTGTATGCGTGTAATTGCCTACATGTAGGTAAGTGCACCCATGTCATGCAATGCCTGCAGAGGACAGAAGAGAGTACAGACAGTTGTTAGCTGCCATGTGGGTTCTGGAATTTGAACCCCGGTCTTCTGCAAGAACAATGTTCTCATCCACTGAGCCATCTCTCCAGCCCCAGTGCTGGGCCATTTAATAAATAAAAGTCTTAAAGTACACAGTGTCTTAGCTTAAGAAAATAAGCAGCTAAGTATAATGAAAAGAAATGAGAGTGTGATCTTTTGATGAGTAATTCATCCTTATAGAGTAACATTGGCACTTATAAGAAGACAGTAAAAGGAAAACAGAAGTGCCTAGTTATTTACATAGCATGTGTAAAACACTCAATCAAATCAAGTAGGTCTGACATCTCTGCCTTTCACAGTACTAAGACTTTAACCATCTGTGATCATTGAAATGCACAATATCATTATTCTACAAAAGCCTAGAAGAACTCGATATCTAATAGAGAATTTAAAGCATATTTCTTTCCTCTACCAAAATTCATAATAATAAATTCACATTTGGATTGGCTTGGTGGACAAAGATCTCAATACAGAGAAAAGACTGAAATCTACATACTGTGGCTGACAGAGCATCATTGTATTGAGCACTCAAGTGACAGGTGAAGCAAGATGAAGGCTTCTTGGTACCAAGAGGCAACTCATGAGTCAGTCAGGGAAAAGAAACAATTTTTCAAAGAACAACATTTTAATAACAGAAAAAAACAAATTGATAAATTATTAATAAGTCCGAAGCACACATATTCGGTTACCAGGACTTTTTAGTATTTGACTTTTTTGCATTCAAAACTAAACTGCAAATAATTAAAGAGAAATTAACATAATTTTGGAGAGTGCTTGAGAAATTTTCTTAGTTCAGGCAACTATAACAGAATAGCACAGACTAAGTAGCTTAATTAAACAATAAACATTTATTTCTCACAGTTCTAGACTCTATAAAGTCCAAGGCCAAACATTGGGAAAGTTTGCTTCTTGATTTATAGATGATCATTTTCCTCCTGTGCCCAGGCTTTTCTTGCACAAAATAAATCAAAGAAGCTGGCTTTCAAATCTCTTCACAGCTCTTCTTATAAAGGCACTAATTCCATTTATGAGGACTCCACCCTTGTAACCAATCACATCTGCATGGTCCCACCATCACACTGAGGGCTGGAAGACTTCAACATGTAAATTTAGGGGGCACACAAGCATTCAATCCCCAACAATCTTTTTTAGTGAAACTTAATAAACATATGGTTTATGCTAAATAGAGATATATGACTCAACAATGGAGAAAAGGGACATGAAAAAAATTATGCCTCTCATCTGCAAAGTCAGAAGGAAGTTTCTACAGTTTTAATTAAGGAGTACAGCAAAATTGAGTGAGAGGGAAAATTTTATAGTTCATGACAATTGTGCAACACATAAGAAAGTTCTTTAGTTTGATAACCTAATTTGAGATTAATTAAAAATTAGTTCAAAGATAATAACAGGATTAAATATTATGCATTATGTCCTATGCACATTTTATGCTTCTGAGTCATTTATATAGTTTAATTTAATTTAACCCTCACAATAACCCATGACATAAAAATGTTATATACTATATCGGGTTGAATAGTTTCTTTCTATAAATTAATGTCCTTCCCAGAACATCATTATGTACTTTATTTGAAAAAAAAATCTTCATAGAAAAAGTATCAGGGGACTGGGAGGATGGCTTAGTGAGTAAAGCACTTGCTGGGAAAGCAGGAGAACAAGAGTTCAGATTGCCAGCACACACACTGTAGCAGGTCATGGAGGCATGCCTCTATAACCCCAGTGCTGGGGGCAAAGACAGGAAAACAGAGGGTCGCTGGCTAGCCAGCCTGCCAAAACCAGCAAGCTCCAGGTTCAATGAGACATTCCCTCTTTAAAAATAAGATGTATATATACAGAAGATACCCAACAGACCTCTGACTTCCACATATGCACAACACATATGGGTGAGTGCATCTGCATATGCACATGAATGCAAAATTAAATTTGGAGGGAATAAAGTTAATATTGAGTTGTAGGAGTGTAAGGAGAGTCATCCCTTAGTCCAATATAACCAGTGTCTTTAACAGAGCAGAGAAGATTAGACACACAGTCGAGGTACCATGTGAGGACAGGAGAGACTGAAAGGAGTGTCTGTAAGCCAAGGACTATGGAGAACTGCAGTGAGCCATCACAAGCTAAGGAAAAAGCACAAGACCAATTTCACCCAAGAAGGAACATGCATCTTTTTCAGACTTCAACACTCAAAATCATGAGAGAATGTATGTCTGCTGTTTTAAACTACCTACTTTACACAATATGTTCTGGCAGTCCTTAGAAGCTAATGTATATTTTGGAAATGTATAAGTGCTGACTGCAATTATAACAGTGTAATTGGTCCTACAATTTTCCCCATAAGTCCCCTGCCTCGGTTCCCTGAGTGACTGGATTATAGGCATGTAGTAATTGCTTTTATAATGCCAGTGACATTTTAAAAAAACTTAGTTCCAAAAATTATTAGTAAGAAAATTGTTAACAAAATAACTAATTCCTCAGATCTCTGGTGGTTGAATTGCAAGCAATAGTGTGGCCAATTTGTCAAAAGGAAAAAATAAACAACACTGATAACTAAAAATAAAGGAGCTTTTACAAGGTACTGACAAATCAGAAATGGGAAGGACAATCCTAAGCCACTCACCTTACTCTGTTTATCCCTGGACTCTTTAACTGGCATGCTTGCCTGTCTCCTTCTCCTTCTGGAATACAAATTCAGCAGAGATATTAAGACCCTACACTCAGTCACTAGAATCACCTCTACTGCTTGAATCCTTACCATGTCCCCAGGTAGCATGAGCTTAGTGGATGAGTAGTTGTGGCTACATACATATTCAATATTTAAGTGGCTTGAACTTCATTCCTTCTCCTAGTGTGATGGTTTGAGTGTCAACTTGATTTAGAGTCACCATGGAAACACACCACTGGATATGTCTATGAAGTTGTTTCCAGGAAAGTTTAACTGAAAAGTTTTCTTAAAAAGTCTCCAGGAAGTTTAAATGAGGAGAGAAGACTTATCTTGAACGTGGGCAGCACCATCCCATGGGCTATAGTCCAGAGCTGAATACAAAGGAGAAAACACAGCAGAAATCATTTCTCTTTGCTTCCTGACTTTGGATGCAACATGGAACTGTGAGTTAATATGGACTTTCCTTCTTTAAGGTTGCTTTTGCACTTTGTCATGGCAATGAGAAAACAATTTGCACTCACCTTCTCCACTGTGCTTAGAGATGGAGAGGACAACTATATGGCTCTCCATCCAAATTATTAACCTAATATTAGTCTCAGTTTAATTAATCTAATATTAACCACTAATGACAGTAGTTTTACTGAATATGTCTCATAGTGGATTACTATACAAATGGCTTGAAGTTTTCACAAATAATTTTGAGCTTAGAGATTTTGCACAATTAGAACTTCTTTTAACTGCCCAAACTGTAATGTATTATTGGATAACAATAATAATTCAGTTGTTAAAAATATTTTTAATTGTGTGTGTGTCTGTCTGTCTGTCTGTCTTTCTGTGTATATGCATGTGAGTTCAGGCACCTGTGAAAGCTATGGACTTCAGAGGACCCTGGAACTGGAGTTACAGGAGGCTGTAAGCTGCCTGATATGCATGCTGGGAACTGAACTTGGATCCTATGCAAGAGCAGTGTACCTTTTGAACTGCTGTGCTATCTGTCCAGAATTCATAATTAAGTTTTATAGTAATCTTCCAGACTTTATTCTAACCTATAAAGGTGGAGTGCTTTACTTAGATTTCATCAAAGCCCTAATATATTAACATGAACAGTAACTTGCACAGTATCACGCGGTACAGTAGCAGAAGTGTCAGAATGTAAACCCACAGCCCTCCCTCTTGACCCCTAGGCTTCCCCACTTCTGAGTCACTTGAACAAACAGATCATATGAAAACACAATATTCAACATACTGCCTAGAAAAGATGTAATTCTGAAGAAATCTTGAGAGAGTAAATACATGGGAAATAAGAAGAGGCAGCTGTAATAAAAGGTACAGAAGAGATAATCACAGTTGAGAACATAAAGCAAGCTACTATGGGCAATGGTGACCAGCTCTTTGTCATCTCCCTAGAGAAAAGATTCTAATTACAGAAGTAGATTCGGCACAAGAAAAGAGAATTTATGTGTTATTTGTGTGTTTTGAAGATAACATTGCAATTTCTTTATAGAAATCTTGAAAACAAGTCTTTCTCCAAAGAAAGGCTATTCAGTGATAGCTATTGATTCTAATAGTCTCTACCAGTTGCTTGGAAATTCTATTACATCAATACAACCTTACTTTAGTCTGTGTGTATTTATTTATTTATTATTTAAGTCAATTTATTTGCTTGTTCTTAATTTAACTATTCTTTCTCTGTATAAATGTATGATGTGCAAACAATTTTTTTAAGTTTATAAAAATTAACTTGTTTATTCCTCAAAGAAATCTATTATATGGCTGTTATTACTATCTTAGATGAGAAAACTAAGGCATAGTTCAATGATTTTGATCTTTTGTTAAATTGCTATTCATGAGAAATAAGCTTGTGTGTGTGTGTATGCACATAAGTGTATCTATATATACATAAATAAACCTAGAGCATATGACATAGTGAATAAAAGAGAGCGTGGGGTTTGGAGTTTAAGTCGTGCTGTGCTGAATGACTGGTCTCTCAAGATCAGTCTTCTTGTCTGTATAATAAGCAGTCCATTCTAAGTTGACAATTGCTCTGATTTGCCTAGGCGTCAAGTAACTTACCAGCATGAGACTCTTTTACAGTGTTGAAAAGAGGAACGTTCCAAGCAAATCAAGATACTTTATTTGATGAAAACGTCATTTAAGCAAATACTCCAATTGTGCAAATAAGTAGCTAATATTTTTCTCACTAAATACTAAATTTCATTTTACAAAGACAGGAGTCCATCTCAAGAATGTATTTTGGCCCCTTTCATGCTAAGGGGTACTCCTTCCTTCTGGCCATGATCACTCCCTATTACTGCCTCCTCTCTCCTCTAGATGAAACACAAGCACAAACTAGAAGCAAAGAAATTGCCTCCAAAGGCCCCAGCCTCACAGGTGACACAGGGCCTAGGGTCATTGCTAGAGCCTGGGTCATTTTTCAAAACTTTTCCATTTGAAGTAACAATCAAAACAGAGCAGTGACAAGGTAGGAGCAAGAAGCACTCTTTTCTTCTGTGCTATGATTATGCAGTCAAGCCCACTCATCCCTTTTATCACATTTAGCCAAGGGGGACAATGTACTCTCTAGTTCAATTAGCTATTCAGGTAAAAGTCATGCATTTTTCATGAAGCAAAGTCCATCATGTGCACCATCTGTGACCCTCCAGAGGTCTTGTCTGTCACTTACTCTCTCAGCCCTACTGCCTGTCCCCACGTACTTCTTCCTGTGGTCTCTGCCCTCTGCATTTTTTATCAACCAAAGTAAAGCTGTAGAGACCCCTCTGTGACACCAACACTTGTGATCCTTACTTCAATTTGGTAATTCCTATTCAGTGAAAGGCTTGAGGATAGCTCACGATGGAGGGAAAGGTAAGACTGCCCCATGTTTCCATTTCATTAGGCAGATGCTTATTGAATACACACTGTTTGGACATATTAGTACTAAATGCCATCAAAGCTAAAAAACGAATGACACAAAACCCTGGCATTATGAACATCATAGATACAGAAGAAGGGACAAGCACATGAGAAATTAAAATACAAAGCAAGACACAGGAATGGCAGATGAAGAGGACAAGACGACTCCAGATAGTGACATCATGTCTATTCGAAAGGACAGTGAAACAGGACAGACTTCCGGCTTGGGGAAAAGGGACAAGTGTCTTGCATGCTGAATGAGCACAGGATTGAAACCAAATTGGGGAAACTGCACTTTGGCAACAAAATTCCTCTCTTTTGAGAAGTGAGTTGGATGTGTTTGAAAAATAACAGTTCTTGTTTTACAGAATTAATCAGCATTCCAGGGAGTAGTAAAGTAGAAATTATGAAAGAGAATTAGGCTGAGGTCAGAAAGTAAGTCACCTTTAATGGATTATTCTGGTGCTTGGGGGAAGACAATAAAAGTGTCAATCAGAAGGATGGCATCACCAATCTTTTCATAAGAGGAGGCAGGGAAAATCAATAAGTTAGAAGAAGATGGGCCTGAGAGCAAAGGGATGAATTAGAAGATATGAAAATTAGGTGGCAGTAGAAGACACAGTAGTTAGGAAGTATACATGGAGATACAACATACACATTTACCCAGCAAACACATTAAGTGCCTATGTTTCTCCAGATAAGAAAAACATCAAAGTCTAAAGAGTAGTCCCTTCCTCCCTTGAGCAGATAACACTTCAGTTGGAACACAGTATATGAAATAATTCCAATCTAACATGATTAAAGTTTAAAAGTACAAGAAACACTCAACAAGTGGGTAGTGAGCATGGGAGCTCTAGAAGGAAAAGAAAAGCCAACCAAGAAAATACAGAACACTCCCTGTGTCAAAATGCAGAAAAAGGTAGGAAGCTTTGGCAGAGCCTAAACAGCTGCCCCTCTGGCCAAAGCCGCCTCTCTAGCTGTGTTCTTAGTCACCTTTAGTAAAAGTCCCTAGACAGCTTATTTCAGAAAATATACAACCACTTTAGACTCTGTTGACTTCCTACTGAAATGTGAACTCCATTACCTCTTGTTCAATACTTTGCCCAGTAAGTACTGATGAATGAATAAGCATCTCCCTTTCCCCTCTCCCTCTCCCTCTCTCCCTAAACACATATCACCCCCTCACCAGCAGCTTTCCCTGAAGTAGGAAGACAATGTAGAGACAGCACTAAGGAAGTTTCTGGAAAGCTATGGCACACTGACAACTCCACTAATTCTAAAATGAACAATTCCAACTTTGTCTCTAATATTACCATCCCTGCTTTTCCTTCCTTGTGTAGGAGTTGAAGTCAGAGAAATATATGTGAATCCTGAGTCAGCTTGATAAATGGTTAGGTTTTTCATAAAGAAACTTGAATGTTAGAATCATCCAGGGTAAAGAAGATTGGGGTAAGTTACTCTACTCACCTGTTATATAAAATAACAATGATGGTAATTAGGACTACAAACATCAATGAAGCGGTTCCTCCAACGATGAAGAGGATATGTTGTTTATTGGCTTTGCCTAGAAGAAAAAAATGTATAGTGGGAGTTAGGAGTTTAATTAACACCACCAAAAGATGGTGGGAAAATGAAGGAAGAGTGCATTAATCATGATAGAATAGCATTAACAATTAAAAACAAAGAATCAGATAAAAAGAATGGACAAAGAGAAAAGGCATTTTTTTCCTTAGAGCCTCTGATACTTAGGATGTATCACAGACTTTTATTACTTCCTTGATTAACTTGAGTGCAACAACTTAAGATGAGACAGAATATAAAAAGCACACACCAGACATGGGTGTTATTTCACAACACTAAGCTACTGATCATATGGGTGGGGATGAGAAAAATACTTCGAAGTAACACATTAATGAAGACTGCGTTTTGTGTCTGATACATTAAGTACATTCTACATACCAGAATTAAATTTTTTCTACTAAATTTGAATGAATGATAAGAAATAATCAAGGAGTACATGTACTGCAACTCACTCTACCACAGTACAGGACTCTGAACGGCCCCCCGCCCTGCCCCGCCCCCAAATGGTTGAGTTTTAGCTAACCAGCCTCCAGGCCCATCCTTTCCTTTCTCTGCTCAGGGGCCTCAGGTCTGTCAAGTAATGGCAAGGACAGCAGTTCTAGTTACATCACAGAGTTGAGCTGAGAATCTGAGTCAATATTTGAAAGAGTGATGAAATGCTACAAGAGAAATATCACCTCTGCAGGTGAGAAGAGGAGGTGAGAAACCACTGATTTTTTTCTCTGTCCTCCTGCCCATGGCTCCCTGCAAGCATCACACATCCCCATCCCCAGAGCACCTTATAATTTGAGAACACTGTCACTACATGCTGGCAAGAATTGGTTTGAAGTGAGATGTACCTGCTGTTTTTATTATCTCATGGGACAGCACATTTGCCAACCACACATACACATAGTTTCCTGTATGGGCAGAGATGCTGGTGCACTATCCTTCCCTCTTAAAATTGTGCTCCATGCTTGTGCTGCCATTCCCGGTCTGGAATCCAAAGGCAACCTGCAAAGCACATTTTTAATTCACCCCTGCCTTTATTATTTTAAAATCTCTTCCTTCCTAAGTCACAGTTCTACTGATTTTTATGACAAAAACTCAAAGTCTACCAAGTTGTTCTTTTTTTAATTGATTTTTTTGTGTGTGTGTATTTCATACAGAACATCCTAAACCATCTTATTCATCTATATACACATCCCAAATGGCAACCTCCTATAGCTCTCCCCTGATTGGAGCCCATATATCCCTGTTACAGTCCACTGTGTTAGTGTCCCAGCCGTTCCCCAGTGCTAGTCCATCTGCTGAATCTAGTCAGCCTATTTAGAGTTCCTTGTTTTAGGAAGATCAGCTCCTCCTCATCTAGCAGCAATCAGTTGCCAACATTTCTTTGGATAAGATTGGGGTCTTCTGTTCATTTTCCCATTTCTATGCCTGGTTACTGTCTGGGAGTCTCTTGAGCCACCCTGGCCAACAACTCAAAGGAAGGTAGCTCCTGTCTGCCATTGTTTCTTGTTACGTAGCCTTTAGCTACACACATGGACTCTGAAAGAATTATACTGATTATTTTAATCTTTGGCTATACTTTCCTTTTGGGTGTTTAAGACCACACAGTTGTCCCAGATTAACCAATTTATTTTTACTCTTAAGGTCATTTGAGGATCTGTTCCTCAGGGGTCACATGGGCTTGGGAGAAGCCCCTGGCTCCTATCTTTTATCAGTTCCATCTATGTGAAGATAAGTCAAAGGTCCTGCTTGACCATAGCTGGCTTCACTTGGAAGCATGGAGGAAATGTTCCTCTGTGTTGACCCTCCTCTATATAGACGGGGCACTTGTTTAAGTCCAGCTGGGGGGTCTCCATGGCCTCCTTGATCAAGAGGACAGGTGACCCACCACAGTTACAAGACATTTTGAGAGATGCTCATAGTCCACTGGAACTTAGTCAACCTTGGAGGGCAAGGAACAAAAACTATCCTTTAAGTCCCTCTGAACAGATTAGCACAGGCCTCAAAGTATGGCTTTTAAACATCCAAGAAGGTTAGTTCCACCAGTCTGGTACATGCACTACATAATAAAGCTTGGGAAAAACCAAACATTCTCTGATGAACCTTGACTAGACATATATTATGTTCCTTGAGCTAGCTGTACGTATAACTTGTCAGTAGGTTGTTGGACTGATATGGTTCTATTTTTTTTAAACTAGCTACGCATTATTTATCTATCTCATCATCTAACCCTTCACCGTGGTTTCCCCATTTTTCCCATTTCTTCCTTAATAATACCCTTCTCCTATGGTCTCTCCTCTCTTGAGCTCCTTCTTAACCTTGGGGATAAAGGGAAACAAGTTGTTCTTTTATAAGCCTCACTGAAAAAGGAAACTAAGGTAAATAATAGATGTTTTTAGTTTTTACAACTGTTTAAGCCTAATTCTATACATAGGGTTTTCTCTAGGTTGAGCTTATTTCCTTTAATACAACACTGCCAGACTCAACCAAGTCAGAAATGACAGTGTCTTATCTCTGTATAACTGAATTCCACCGTATCCATGCCTACACATGTTCTTTATCCATTCCTCCATTGATGGACACTTTGGTTGTTTCCATATGCTGACTATTGTAAATAGTGCTACATGAACACGGGGATGAAACTGTCTCTTCAAGACACTGGTCTCTGTTCCTTTGGATACACACCCAATAGAGAAGTCACCAGGTTCTGTGATATATCTACATTCAACTTTTAAGGACACTTCCTCCATATTGTTTTCCATAATGGCTGTGCTAATTTATAAGCAGCATACCTGGTTCCTTTTTTCTACATACTCATGAACATTTATCAGATCTTTTACTTTTTTTTAACTTTTTTTTACCTTTAAAAAAGATCTCCAATTCATTATTAAAATACACAGTTTCATACAGAAAAATTCATTTTCAATGCAATTGACATTAAGGTGTTTGCACACACGTTTCTAATCTCTTTATATCTGATTATTACTAGTGACAGTTAATTTCTGAGCTCCTTGGCATCTGAGCATGGATATAAAGTCATCAGGTAGATTTCAATGGAGATTTGACAAAATTAGGTGAGAATTCACGTGTTTGTTATATTAGTCTCTACATTTTTTGATGACTAAAGTATATGCTAATAGCAACAACAAAAGATCCTGTGACAAGAAGAAACCACTGCTCAGCTGATGCTATGATTGACAGAACGAGTTGGGGGAAGATACCAGCTTGTCATGGTTTCATTGCCATTTCTCTGGAGGATCTTTTTCCTTCCAAATAATTCAATAATTGCAATCCCATTATTCCTGAAGTAGGAGCATGCCTTAGGTAAGTGATCATAGTTCTATTATCCTGCGTATGAATCAATTCTCTAGCTTCTATTGCTTTATTGCTTTTCTCAGAAATATTATCTAATAATTTCATCATTTCACAGTTCATTTGCACCTGTACAGGAAATGA